TACACTGAAGCATTAAGAATCTCAAAATGTTGCCTTTCCTTGCTTTATAAGAGGTTTACTGGGATGAAACCCAGGAAACCACTAACAAGTATATTCTACCTGTTCGTAGAGTTAATAAGACTGTACATATCCCATGAACCATGCTAGGATCTGCAGGTAAATAATAAGGGCAAAAATATGATTACCTAAGGACTCACAGGTGCAACAGAGACTTCAAGACAGAAACTGTTTCATCAGTCTCTTAATCTGAGATTTTTCTTCTCAGCAAGCAGTAGAAATTCATCTCAAGAAAGTGCAACCCGCCCAGCCAAGAAACAGCCACTATGTACCAAATCCAAACAGAATTCCCTTAATGTAGAGAGCTCACCAGTGACACATTTTAATCATGGTAGCAGCAGGAACCTGCAGGACTGAAAGTGAAACCCAGAGGAACTCCCCAGCCCTGTCTCCCAGGTGCATTTTCTGGCAGCACCCCAGCTACGCAGAGGCTGTCTTCCTTCAGTTCACCAAGGTTTCCTTCTCAAGGAAAGCTGAGAATAAGATTGAGGACACCATGTAGAGCTCTGGCCCAACATTGTAGAAACAGCTGATGGGACCTAAAGGCACCAAGGGTCATTGTGAAGGTCATCATATCGGCTGCTAAGAAAAGCTCTCCCTTTTGTTCTTGAGCCTAAAGCTTGGCTTCTTGTCAGCCTAGTTGTGAGAAAGGGTACTTATGTAAATTTAATTAAAAAACTATTTACAGCATATTTGTTCAGAATTTAATTGCTACTTTTTTATTCTTATGAATTTTAATGCCAGCCTCTTACTGTTTTTTGGTTTTTGGTTTTTTTTTTCAATCATAGTGTCCTTGCTTACTAATTCATTCATACAAACACTTCCACCTATTTAAATGGTTACTAATGTACCCCCATAGTGGTAGTGGCTGGTGCCTGCAGACTGTTTCTGCTGTCAACTGTATCATATACTCTTTCCTCTGAAACTGGACTTGGGAATGTAAACACATATGTAAATTCATAATTTTGAGTAATCTTGCCTATCTGACCATGTCCACAGGTTTTCAGCCTGTCATCTGTAGACCTGTGGATTTATCCTTAGTATACCTTACATCTGGCATACAGACATCTGCATATCTACTGGAAACTCACAGGTCTTGAAATAGCAAAAAAAAAAAAAAAATGTTGAAAAAAAGCTGTTTTGGTGACTTTCAGCTTCCTGTCCGCTATAAGGCAGCATCATAAATGGTACTGCTTAGAGAAGTGGTCTGACTCCCTTCTTCACCCTCACTGCATCTTCTGTGGCTGTCATGCCTGGGGACTGATCCTTGCACAATTTAATAAAGCAGCAGCAGTCTTCAGGTAAAATCCTGGGAAAATTTCCATAGATTTTAGGTGGCCTGGAAGTCAATTTGTATGTAGGCAAAGAGTAGATTTCTGTACAGTGGTAATATCACAGAGTGCAAGGTAGAAAGAAGTCAGAGCATGTGTTGACACAGTTGCTTGTAAATGTTTACTTGCATTTTTACTCTTCTCTGTTAAAGTATGTTTGCTTGTTCATGAAGTCATTTAAAAACTGGAAAAGGCAGCAAAAGAAGATCCTTGGAAAATAAAAATACATAAACTAAGACACTAAAACTAAAGGCTAAAACACTCCTCAAAGGATGAAGGTCACATAAAATCATTGTCCTGGAGCTGAGTGTACAGCAAAATAGAAGAAAATATCAATTCTAAAAGTAGTTTTCACTAATAGTGCGTTAGTCATTACGGTGCACTTTCTGGACAAGGTGTTTTAAAATAATCTTTTAAGTTTAGAGCTGCAAAACTAAAAAGGTTGCCTGATGTCTAGCAATAACCAGAAGTTCCCATTTAAGTATCTAACTGAAAATTTTACTGTTTTTCAGAATAATACTGGATATTTCTTTGGTTACATGCTACTTCAAGGTATCATCTTCATTGTGTCTATGGAGAGATTTTGAACTAAGGTTCTCCACTTATACAGATTTGGGAATTTCATACTACCAAACTGGTAGGTGTGAGTTACATCTCTAAGATGCAAGGCCATGTCAAACACCTGCAGGTGAGAAAGCTACAGCTTTGCCAAGGGTTGGAGTGTTCCTCTTGCCCCTGTGCTCCAGCTCCCAGGGAATCTGTCAGACATTCACAGTGAGGTCCCCTGATTAAACATCAGCATGTCATTTTGTGTTCCTCCATACTGAAGGACATGACAGGGTGTCTGTCACACAGTCCCCCAGTATGGAGTCAGCTCCCAGGAGGCTGGAAAGCATGGGCACAGAGTGGGAGGAAAAGCAATAAAATTTGAGCTGGATTTGGTCATACTCTAATTTAGTAGGAAAGGCAGGGAATTCGCCATGAAAAGAAAAAAGGGGGCTGCAATGCCCATTCCCAGGAGACAATAAAGACAAAACTGAGCTAAAGTGTCTGCAGGAGTGAGAAAAAAGCAGGAGAGTCTAGTCCCCAGTATGAGAAAGAAGATGGGGAATTCAAAGCTGCAAGCTAGAGAAATGAGGAATAAGCAGGGGTGATCACTTGCTTAATCTACAGTACCCTCACAGAAAGTAATAAATTATGTTAGCTGTAACAATTAAATACTTTGTTTTCAAATTTTTCTCTCAATTTACCCATGCCTCCCGCAGAAATGTGTATGTTAGCCTGAGAAAAACTGATGTATCTAAGGCTTGGAAAGGAAAGAGGAACTGTGATGAGATTTGATATCTTGAAGGGCTTGTTCTCTGATCAGGGAATAAATGAAGCATTGCATTTTAAAAGAGATTTTCAACTGAGGATTTTAATTGGACCTCACTTTTAGAGTGTTTCAAATCCTCTCTAAGTACAACATAGCACACACACAAAAAAAGAGCCTGTGATATTTTGATGTTTGCTTCTCCACATATTCTCCTGTATGACAGAACATGGTGAAAATTATGAATAATATGTGGGCACTCTGCTGTTGCACTGCAGGAGATGCAGTTAGAAGAAGATACTAGAGTTCACCATTTTGTATCTCTCAGCAACAAACTAAGCCAAAGGAAAGGATGCCACTGTATGTCTGCAATTTATTTCTGCAGAAGCTGTGGCTTGGTCTTCTGTGGGGCATTTTCTCTCTGTCTTCTTGCTTTTTCAAGAGTGCAAGTGAAAGAGACAGAATAAAAAAGTCCAGCTGCAGTAACTTTATTTGCACAATGGGTTATAACCACGTTGCTAGCACACTGAATACAAGTAGAAGCATTAAGAATCTGAAAGCAGTATTTTTATTGTTATATTATTGTGATTAAGCACCAAAGCTATCAGTCTTTGCATTGATCATCTAAGGAGAATCCATGCTTTACCTTTTTTAACAATGACCTTTGTTCAGAAGGATAAACTGAATGGATATTGGTTTTTCTCCTTCTGAATCCCAGAACAGTATCCTTTAGAGGTCACATTTTTTTTTTTTGTTTAAAATGTGTGATTAAAGTATTGATGTTTCCAGGTGACCAATGTTTGAAATGGGAAAAGAGAGAGAAGCAAGCGTGTAACACCTGGTAGAGCAATATTGCAAAGGGATTGGAATGATTTGAGATAACAATAAATGACAGCAGTGAAGGTAAGAATTCCTGATACTGAGAGAGAAAACATTTAATTGCATTGATTTAAACAATTATAATTAAACTATTTCTGCATTGCATTATATGACCATTATAAAATTTGCACAATTCATGCAAGTAAGCATGCTCATTTTAAGCTGGGAGCTGCTTGTGGAAAAGAGAGGGTCTTAGCTCTTGAAAAACAAAGGTGTCTGCCAAAATCCTCCTGAGTCACAAGCCCTCTGGGCCTCAGTTTCCTCCTCTGTAAAACAAGTAGAATAACCTGATTTTTTCCTCCACTGATCTGCTATATTAATGAATCCTTTTTTGTAAATCCAGTACAAGGATACAAAATGTTCTAATGCTCTTCATCTTGTTGTTTTGAGCATTTTCTATTTTGAATGCTTGTGCATTTCTAGATGGGAGGCAGAAATGGGTCATTCCCTAGTGATCTTATTATGGAAGTCTTTCCCTTATATAAGGACCTCTAATTCTCCTGCTGCTCTTCTCCCTTATCAGTGACAGATTTTGCAAGTGTTTGCTTATTTTAATTTATTTTGTTATGTTACAGTGACTTCTCCCCACAGATTATTGCCTTGAACTGTAAAATAACTTTTATTAGTGTTTCAGTTAAAAAGAAGGTCCTGTCACCAAAGATATAGTGGTAGCGTAAAACATCAGGAACTCTGACCCAAGATACCAAAACTAATTAATCAAAGCCTGCAGCTCAATCCAGTTCACTGTTTGACAGCAGTTTTGATTAGTAAGGCTGGAGGCAAAGACCACCTTTCTCTTGAGTGCTTAAAAAGAGAAGAAGATAGGTGTATACATTTGACACAAACTGGTGCATACATTGTGGATTACTTTTGTTTAGGCTGGGTGCCCCTGAAACGCAGAACAACTTTAATGACCATTAACAGCTCTTTCAGTGATTAAGTAAATGAACTCAACAAAATTAACTGCTGAGTAGATTCCCAAACACTTGGTGCAGTTTATTGAAACTGATCAAGTTACACAAATAGTAAGTTGAGATTCACTTCAACCTCTATCTATTTGGTGAATACAATTAGGGAAGACTCCCTCGCTTCTGGAGAAGTGAAGCTGGCTTACAGTACTGACACAAAGTGAAAATCTTTAATGCATCAATGTTGGTAATTTGCATTCAGTGTAAGGAATAAAAATCTGAAAGACTTGGGTGTCTACTGGAGCTCCAGAGGGCAGCAAGTACATCAGCTCAGCAATCACTGCTGCTAATGTGCTGTATGAGGACTGCATATTCAAGTCAGTGCCTAATGCAGTGAGAAATAAAAACTGCAGTTGTTTACACATCTTGAACTGAAATGAAATTTGGGCCTTGGTGGAGAGAACTAAAAAAGCATACTTAGAAAGTAGGAAGCATACTAAGAATCTTCCTTACCTCCATCTAGTTCTTCAGCTCCAAAATGATTCCTGTAGAAGAGCATAATCTCTATCTTGTAACACTTGTAGATAGTCACTAAACAAACGAGCAGCAGCAGAATAGCACCAAGTCCACCAGCAAGCTCAACTGTGTACATCAGCTCTGCAAAGAATTACAAAATGCAATAACCACCACATTCCAAAACAGAGAAATACTAGCAGCAGATCTCACACTCATATTAAAAATTAAAATAAAATAATGAATGATGGGGTAATCATGTATTTATTGTGTTATAGAGCCCTTGAAGAATTACATAATTATAAGGTGGTTTGTTTTTTTTCCTTGAATAAACTATTTTTTCCTCTGGTAAGCCATTTGAGTTGCTCATTTGAAACATAACAGTTGCTGGGATTGTGCGTGTATATGTATGAGTGTGAGAATATATACAAGACATTTGATAACTCCGTTTTCTCTGTAGATAGATCACAGTTTGCTTTACACAGATAATGTTGAGATTCTACTTACAATGAAAGCAGAGATTAATGGCTTTTTTGGGGGGAGGACTATAATGCAAATACAGCTTCTCTTTTTTTCACACAAAAAATGAGTTTCAGTGTTCTAGATAAGATTGCACTAAGGATTTGATTATTTTTTTTAAATAAAAATAAATTAAAAAAAAATCAAATTGAGAGATGTGAAGGCAAATCATCCAAAGAATCCCACATCCTCACATCTCAGTTATGTTTTAATATCTATAACAGTTTCCCAACATTCTGTAGTTCATCTTTAATTTCCCTTTCCCTCAGTTGGGGTTACTTTATATGTAGTCACAGCAAACCACCACAATTTGTCCTTCTGGCATTCTCATTCATACTGTGACTCCCTGATGCCTTTGCTGCACTCTACCATTGGCATCTCACATGATGTTGCCGTGTAGCTCCATTCCATCTGGTCAGATATGGCCAAAACCAGCTACCACCAGCAGTATTCTTAGTGGGGCCACTTATCATTACATAAGTAATATGCTATCACGGACTTTCACCTCTCCCTAACCCTAACCCTAACCCTCTCCTGTTGCATGTTCCAGGAAGCCTACACAGATTTGTGGCATCCATTTTGTTGTTACTTTTAATTTGCTTATTGACTGAAAACTGCAAGGTTAAAAAAAGGAGGGTGGAAGGAGAGGAGCATTGCTAACAATTTCATAATTTGAAATGAGTAGTAGATGGCAAATCTTAAGACCACCAACCAATACTTTTCCAATATCATTCAATTTTGAGGAACGCCAAGAAAATGAGTCTTGGAAATCTAAGATACGCAATTTGCTTCATAAAAATCTGTGGCAGAGAAAGCTCAGTTCCATGTTATTTTCACAGTATCCTCTACCAGTGGGCAGCTTCTGTCCGAGTGAAGGAGGGTAACCCTAAAATAACCTTATATGTGCGTGTGTGGTTATACAGATATGATACTCTAGCACAATACAATTCAATTAGAGAAATAAAAGGTTAGAGGAAAAAGTAACAATTCCATTTGTTTTGACTACATCTACTGAGAATCACACACTTTTTGAGGCAAAAGTAAGAAAAAGTCATTTCTCTCTGGAAGACACTAAAAATGCAATAAGATAAAAGACATATTCCATGTCATTCCCTCCAAAACTGTGATGGAAATTCTGTTGTGTTATTTTTCAGGCCAACATGCTTATTTCAGACTTTCAATACTTCTCTGGTCCTGAGAAGGGAATATTATTAAAAACACCCTCCAAAAAATTGTTTGCATAGACAAGTAATACAGTATTTTAGAATGCAAATGGAAGGGGAAATTACTCTGCACTGGCCTAGTATACCTTGTTTATCATTTTGTACTACAGGTGATGTAGCTGTTCAATGGTAACTAGAAGAAAGGCTTTAGTATTTCAAGTTGCTAGGCACAAAATATTCTATTTATGTGCTTACTGTTATGACTCATTAAAGGCAAGGAAAAACTTTAAAACTGGAACACAGAAGTTTTTCCTAAATTAATGATTTTGAGATTATATCACAAAAATAACTGCAGGTAGTCAACTGTTCTCTGTCACTGTGCATGTAATTAGGCTAATGCACTGCATCATTTTTGCCATCAAAGAGTCCCTCTTAGTTATCTTTTTTCACATCAAATAATTCAAGATTATGCATATATTTTTACTGCAGTAGTCTATCAGAACATACAAGAAAATGTCCTAATTTAGGCAACCAAAGCCAACAACAAAGTTCTCTAAGTCACTCTGTACTCGAAATCACCTGCTTCTAGGCCATCATGATCACTTACAATCAAAAAGATATGGTATTTTGTTCTTAAACAGATTTGTTTGCAAAATGAGTTTCATGATCTACCCACCTTGCAGAGCAGGGTTGTATTTTCCTCTGTGCTGGACAATGTCTATCAGCATATGTTTGCACTTCGCCTTAGGTGTTATATTTCAGGGTTCAGAGACAGACAGGAGTTGTGATTAGCCCAGCATCCTCACACCCAGCCCTGCAAATGCCTAAACTAATCCCCAAAGTGCTGAGAGGAAGACAACTACATCTGTGTAGTGCCGTGGGAGGAGGGACAGATTGGCCTGGGCACAGTGCCACACTGAGTTGATTGCATTCAGGCCTTGAGTTAGTGTTTCTGCAGGATGATAAACCCTAAACCCTGCCCTAAGGGGACACTGCCTGAATTGTAGGGATTTTATGAGCAATATATGTTGCACTGAACTGAAGAAGGTGTGAAGAGCAAAAGGCTTGGTCCTGCCTCTGGTGTTGGCCTCTTGGGTGATAGAAGCCATTTCACATTTCTGTGCCTTAGTTTTCCCAAAGTGAATTGGGGAGGATGCTTCTGAGTCCTTTGTATGAGAACACCAAAGGTATTGGTGATGTGTATGCTAGCAATGTCAACAATGATGCAGTGACTGTTAAAGCTCAGTTAAAGTGTAACAGCAAGGTTAGAGTGTAAGGTTACGTTCACAATAACATTTTTTTCTGCTGCTGCAAATTGTGATTTGAGCAGGGATGCTCCAGCAGGCATTACACTCTCTTTGAAGTGTGATTTTTATTTCTTGCTGAAATTCAAGTTTCCTGTAGTAGCTACATGCTAAAAAGATTCAATTTCAGCCCAATTCCACATCAGAGGGGAGAGACAAAAAGTGCAAACCTTTTAAAATCTATTTAGCCTCTCTGTTACATTGCTCAAATTACAGACTTGGCCCTCCTTAAGGAGCTGAGACTGAATGTTGAAAATAGTAGAGGAAAATTACTCAGCTAACCCTTAGGGGACAGGCATTCTGTTAAACACAACAAATGAGTGAGTGCCAGGGAGTTACATCCAGAAGCACAGCAATCATTTAGTTACAGGCAATTAACAATACTCCTCCAGTAGCACAGGAACTGTTCTACTCCAAGGGAAAACACATTGATTACTGCAGCAGTAGTAGATTGGTTTCTGAATAAAATTCAGATTTAAAACAAGATTTGTTACAAGCATTTTGACCAATAGCTACATTTTGTTTTTTCTTATCAGGAGGCTTTGGCCAACCAACCCATTGAAAGAGATAGTTAATTAAAGCAAAGTATGTGTTTTCTCCAAATATCCAGCATATTTCTCATACTAAATCTACTTGGTTTATACTGATTATATCCTAATTATTAAGCATATTTTTAGAATATAATTTTGATCTTCACCTGGCTTTAATATTTTATGAACTTCCTTTCACTGTGTCATGAAGGTAATTCACTTATTGTATCTGGAGCTGTAACAAGAAAGTAAGTAAAAGGGTGCCTTCAAAGATTCATATCTTTTGACTTATACAACATGCTTCAGGGACTTCACATGTAATGATCTGTGATAATTTAAAATTAATCTTATTCTATTCATTAGTCCACATACAGCTGAGCTACAAAGAAAAATTATATTTTAAACATTCTTTTTTTTGTGATTTATAACTCTTCAAGGATGTGATTTATAGTTGTGTATTCAATTTCTGAGCCTTTTTCAAAATCCAATTACAGTCTATCTAAGATTTCAATTTTTCAACCACTTACGCAGATTCCTTAACTTTATGGAATATAAGTAATCCCTCTAAAGTCAACAGGACTATTCACAGAGCTTCAGGTTAATGCATACATAAATCTTTGCATCTTTGTGGCCTAAATTCATTTCCATTCTCTGCCTGTCTTGGATAATTTAACTCACAAAGCTACAAGGTTTGGTTAGAGACAGTCTGTTTGTCTAGGTATGCTTTCATGAACTGAAATTATTAAATGAAACATTAAGATAATAAATATAAAGGGGGGTATATGTTAGGGAGCAGTTGAAGAATACTAAAGCTCCTTTGATGACATCTGAGAGAAGGTAAAGAAAGCAGATCCCAACAAACAGAGCAAGACTGATGTGTAATAACATGCAGCTTTGGTTATAAATGGACATGTTTTTCCTAAAGGAAGGAGGCTGACTAACACACAATTACTTGTCTGAGTCTTATTTCAGACAAATATTACATTATATGGGATTTTTTGTTTGTTTGTTTCAACAAGCCAAACAAAATCTGTTTGTATTTAAGGCACCTAGATGGCTTTGTGGATTCTGTTGTGGATGGTTACTGTAGGAGAATAATACTTCTTATATTAATAGAAATAGATTTGGGATGTTCATTAGCTTGACTATGAAATAATTTCTTAGCACAAAGTATAAGCTTTCTTCCAGCATAGCCCATACAAGCTTGAAGGTGTCTGTAGAATTGACTTAAGGTGGCTAAATTTAGTTGCAGTTTTTAATGTGGTTTTCAATGCAGTAATTTCATTTTATTTATTACAACTATTGCCAACTGGCTTCTCACTTTAGTTTTTAGATCAATACCTAATATATATTCCCAATTCATCTATGAAGAAGACAGTCAGGTTTGGGAATATATATGAATATGTATATGCGTGTTCAAATGCAAGACAGGGATCTTGTTAACCTGTTCATTAGTATGGCAGGCAGCATATCTGAGTCTTGGTGCTGCTGGATTTCCAGTATTATTAGAATAGAGATAGTAAATTATTATAATAAAAGTATATTCTTACTGATGACATTTTTATTTCTTCTGAAAAGTGAAGGATACCTGTTCCCAGCAGGAGACTAATTACAATGACTAGCTCCAA